AACCGCCAGTGGTAGGTAGGTCTGTCGTAGGTCTATAGGTAGCCAGGATTCGATCCGTAGACCTGTAGATTAGAAGGCTAGCTGCAGTCCTTCTAGAAGGTTGGCAAGTGGTCAAGTGGTGCAGGCAAGTGGCCAAGTGGTGTGACTAAAGCAAGCCCATGTTGGAGACAAGGACAAGTGGCAAGGGCAAATAGTAGGACCCCAGTGCAACTGCACTGCGTCGTAGGGAAGTCGCCATGCAGTCATGGGAGAGTCTAGAAAGTACCAGTCCGGTCCAGCAAGTACCACGGGGGGGACTGTGTGCACCATGGGCCAGGGATACAGGGCAGACCAACGCAGCGCAGAAGTATAAATCAAGAGGATGCGTCCAGCCATTCATTCATTCCTGCGGATGCCATGCGGAAGCGCTGCCTTAGCAGCTTGTGCGAGGAGGTCTGCAGTGTGCCCGAAGACGAAGTGGGCAGAGAAGTGTAGTGTAGCGATAGGTAGTGGCAGCTAGCGCTGCCATAACTGTAGCATAGCGTGTGTGTGTGTTGCGTATGATACTGAGTGTTGCGTGTGGGACATCCAGGGTGATCCAGAGTGCGAACAGTGAGTTGTGTGGGCGCCCAGTCGCCATAGCCAGTTGAAGAGAACTCATATCTGGTTACGATATCTTAAGTACTGTCAGGGCGCATGTCGCCAGTTGCTGTATCGCTGTTTGCATGCAAGACAAGTGTGAATAATCGGAGTGTGAATGCAATGCTAATCTTCTTTCTCTGTATCGTTCCAATCTTATCGGATGTCCCGAAGGACTCAACTTGAACTTCTCACCAGTACGGAAGTTGGAAGGGGAAAAAAAAAAAAAAAAAAAAAAAAAAAAAAAAAACACCGCAGGATGGGACTCGTGGGAGTTATCACACCTGTATGGAGACTGGAGAGAAAAGACAGCAAAGAAGCTGTCTTTGCGTACTTTGTTGCACGCACACCTTGTCCGCAGGCTCGCCCACCTGAAAATAATAAGCATGTCATGTTAAAATTCACATCACAAATACATATCTTTTATTATTTTATTATATTCAGAAATGTGCAAATCATATGACATAATTAAATTTAAAAAAAAACAAAACGCATGACAAATATTCAGCATCCTGATGGGTCAGTCGATCGAAATCCGACGAAACAGTCTGTCGCAGTCCCTCGTTTGTTCTCCTCTTTTATAACCAAGAAAGGCGACTGCCGTATGAACCAGGCCGGAGTGCCCGGACATTACGGCATAAGTCAACCCTTCGGAAAAAGAAAAGAAAAGAAAAAAAAAAGGCTATGCAGGGCACCTTTGCAAGCATAGCTATCTACCTCTCTTGGTGAAGGGAGGTTACCTATCCTGGTAGAGGGAGGTACTTGCAGGCTCGTCCCTTGCCCTAGTGGTTTAGGATGCAGGATTGGGACACCGGTGGGGACCTTGCTAATTCCTAAGGCTAAACAGGGGACCCTTCCGAGCATGGCTATCTATCCCTCTTTGTGAAGGGAGGTGACCTCTCCCGGTGGAGGGAAATAATTGCATGTTTGCCCCTTGCCCTAGCGGTTTAGGGTGCAGGGTTGGTGGTGCGGACGGTGGGGGCCCGGCTAACACAAGGACCGAGCATTTGCCAGTAGCTGCACCTCCCTTTTCATCTTCCCCCACCCCCATCAAGTAACAGCAGTGTCCAAGGCCGACACTCTCCCACCCACCACACGCAACCCGCTCAACACTCGCACTCGCACTCTGACCCTTGTTGGCTGAAGACCCTGCTCACACTGACCAGGAGGATCCAGCTGACCATCCCAGTTGTTGGCACCAAGCGTGTCGCCGGCAGCCATGGGGATTGAGCCCACAACCTCTCCTCTTCCTCAATGTCTGGCAAATAAAATTTTCAACGTCGCTGTACGAGGGAAGATGACGTGCCATCTTGTAGCAGCATCTCACGTTCACGAGTATTCCGTTGAGCTGCGTATCAGAGACTCGGTCGGGGTTCCACCAAGGGCTGGCTATTCCCAGTGATCCCCTTTCACGACAAGCTTGACTCTTCGCAGCGAGTTCTTCACTACGAGTATCTTCAACGGCGTTAAATAACTCGTGTCCGTCTCGTTGTGGACTTCTACAACGTCTCATTTATTTGACATATTGTGAATTCCATTCATGTGCCTACCCAAGACAAGAATTAAGAAAAAAAGAAAAGGGAAAACAAAAAAATTGAAGAAGAAGAAGAAGAGGCAGTGGCATAGTTTCAACTCCACTCTCAAAAGTTTGACATTTTTCTTGATGTTCAAGTTTTCTCCTCGTTTCTTCGAATTTCCTGCCCTCTTATTCAAAGGTAAAAAAAAAAAGAAAAAAAAAAAAGCACAAAAGTACTCAAAACAGAAACAATATTCAGCCTCTGAGATTTACTACGGCAAGACACGAAGGTGCCCAACCGGATACCCACCAGAGTTTTCACTGCCAAAACTCGGGAAAAATACATTAAAAAAAGTGGGAAAAAGTTATAGATCCCCCCTGTGACAAAAGGTTGATTGTTGATCAGCTCACTGATCGCAGCTTTTATGGATTTGTGCTTTCTTTGGTTACAACAAAAAAGAAAGATTTGTACTCGCTCGTCCCCCGGGATTGTCGGAGGCCCCCAAAGGCTCGAGGTGAAGGGGGGGGAGGGGGGGGGAGGGATCCTCAAACCTTTTTTTTTTTACCCGGCTGGGCAAGTGATCCTGGGCCCGACATTATAAAGACGTGACCCCCTGCAGAGGCTATGTGGGTAGATTCCGCAACTTCGTAATGAGGTGCCGCCTTGCCTCGGTGACCAATCCTGTCCCCTGACTTTTTGACTTTTGATTTGACTTTTGAATTTATTGAATTTTATTCAACGTAACATTTCTTTTTCTTTTCTCTTCTTTTTTTCTTTTCTTTTTATTATCTTTTTTATCTTTTTTGAAAGGGCGACGGCATGGAGATATCATCATTCAACGGACCAGCCCCAGGTAATTCAGAATGATCTTATTCTGGTCATCTAATTGAATCTGGATTCGAACTTGGGTCTGTTTTCCAACAGATCGGGGCTGTACCAAATAAGCTAGGCCCTTTCTTTGGTTCGAATTGAACTTTTTTTTCTTTTCTTTTTTTTTCTCCTTTTTTTTTTTTTTTTTTTCAAGGGGAGGTATATTACTTACATTCCCTCCATTCTTCTCCACCTGAGTTTTGTCAACGATGCTTTGACTTTGACTGCAGGCTGTATTTTTCAAGTCCTTGTCCTGTGGATTGCCAAAAAAAACACAAATGATTGTGTTAGGTGTATTAAAAAAAAAAAAAAAAAAAAAAGGAAGGTGTATTAAACTGTATTTATATAAAATGCATGGGATAATTTGCGAAATACCCCTATAAAAAAAAGGAAGGTGTATTAAACTGTATTTATATAAAGTACAAGGGCTAATTTGCAAAATACCCCTATAAGTTGATATATATGCCAAAATGCCCCTAAAAGATGTGGGTAGATCGGAATGCCCTTTTGGGCCTAATTCTTTGTGTTTCGCCCCTGTCAGGGCCATGTGCAAATTTGCAATCTGGACCTCGTCGTCGGGGCCTGGGCCTGCACCCTGTTTTACCCGGTTTGCCCTCCACACCGGACAGGCAACTTTGCACAATACCCAGGCCTGTCGGCGAGGCAGTTTGCATCCATGTTCGACAGCTTCATTCATCTTCCCCCTGGCGAGGTTCCCCATCTCCAACTACTCCTATGCCACGTCACCATCTCTGAAATACTGCTGCTCGCCACTCTGAGAACTCTCTCTCTCTCTCTCTCTCTCACACACACACACACACACACACACACACACACACACACACACACACACACACACACAACGAGGGGGCAAAACACAAAGATGACCTGGGCCATTACGGGTAACACGAAAATACATAGGGCCTGGGAAAAGTTGGCAAGTACCGGGACATTTTGCAAACATGGACAGTACCTGGTAGGGGTACATTGCAAAGATGACAGGTCTAATCAAGGCCAGGGGCATTTCGCAAAACATTTGTTTGTGTCAGAGGGGTATTCGGACGTATTCCGCTCTACCGAGATCTTTTAGGGGCATTTTGGCAAAATACATACACTATCTATAATTTTATATGTAAAATGCATAACGCAATACACACACACACACAAGCGCACGCAGTCCGGCGCCCGCCCGCCCGACACACAGGCACACGCCCACACGCGCACCTACCCACACACGCACGCACGCACACCCAGGCACCGATGTACACACCCGCTGCCCCCCAACCCGCCCACACACGCACGCACCCGCCCGGCTGCCCATCCACCCACCCAACCTCGCACACACCCGCGTGCACACCCCGCCCACCCACCCGCGGATCCGGACACCGGACTGATCCAGACAGAAAACCAGACAAACGTCTGGATCGATCGAGATGTCCGGAAATCCGGACAAGTACCAGACATCCGGACTGTACTGGTCCCGCACCATCCTGATGGGTCCCTAGGACCCAAAAATGTCCCAAAAATGATCCGAGGGGAATATAAAATTAGACGTACAGAAAAAGACAATAGAGTCACGAACATACTTGGAACAAGACAACTGTAACCTGTGTAGGTAGTCGATACTGTCACTTACGAACCAACAAATCAAACAAAAGATTAATTGATTGGTCGGTTGATTGATGGATGCAACCAACCAACCAATCAATCAATCAATCCATCAATCCATCAATCCATCAATCCACCAGTCAATCACTCGATCAATCAATCCACCAGTCAATCAATCAATCAATCAATCAATCAATCAAAATGCCGGCAGCAGAAAAGTCACCCTCACATGGGATTAAGAAGAACCAACAAATAAATCGGCAGCGTTTCACCACCCCGTCTTCACCCGAATAGAAAGCCCAGTCATTATCGCTGTATCTGGGCTGCACGTGGGCCAAATACAGCTAACATGACCGTCCATTCTATTCGGGTGAGACGGTGGTGGTCCCCCCTTGTGAGGTGGCTCAGGCTGCAATGTATGCTACCGAACAAAAGCACAACCAGACTGATGCACCACTTTTTTTTTTTTTTTTTTTTTTTTAAAGGAACAATACAGAGCAGATTAGCATGGCCCTGCGCAAGGATGACATGCTTTCATCGAGAAATGGTCCACAAAAAAAAAAAAAAAAAGCGCCCACTTTTTCTGTGTGACACTGCGTGGAGGAGACACATTGTGAGAGAACAGCCCACTCACCAGTTCCGCCTCGACTTCTTCAAGCTCTGATGAACCTCTGATCGCAACCACARAAAAAAAAAAAAAAAAAAAAAAAAAAATCCAACCAATTCATTGGTCATCAAAAAACGAATGAAACAACTCATACAATTGCTTGTTTTCAATGATTTCCCCTTTTAAAAAAAAAAACTTGACTACGGGAACAAGCATGCAAGCTTCGCCGTTCAGCAATTTATTCTTTTTTTTTTTTTTTTTAACTGTCAGTGGAGGATGAGCCAGGCAATTTTCGCCATTCCCATAGCCATTCGCATTGCTGTTGCTATTCCCATAGCCATAGCCATTATCACAGCCACACCCATAGCCATTGTCCTAGCCATAGCCATAGCCACACCCATAGCCATTGTCATAGCCATATCCATATCCATAGCTATATCCATTGTCATAGCCATAGCCATAGCCATTGCTATAGCCATTGCTTGAAGGCGCTATGACTATGATTATTCTATCAATTCCTATGGCTATGGCTATTTCAATAGCACTAGACAACATAGGCACAGCCACAGAGCCAACTTCTTCTTTTACGGCGGTGGCTTCAGTCTGCTGTGAAGAAGTCGTTTCGATATAAAAACCCTAGCCTCCTGCCAACAGAGTTACCGTCTTCCCCCCGACATAACGCACCCCGATGACAGTTCCATGCAAGCTACTACGTCTCCAACCTAGGCGATGGTTTGGTTTCTTACCTTAATCCTATTCACTAATTCTTACCAATACTCTATACCCGAACAAAACAACAGAGTCTGCGTATTATCACAGCCACAACCATAGCCATTGTCATAGCCATTGTCATAGTCATAGCCATAGGCATTGGCTAAGGTTCGAAGCCTACCCTTCCTATCACAAAAAACAAATTCAGGTCCACTTTTGCTGATCTAAGGTTTCCGAGTCCACATATGCCTTCGCTCGCTCGGTACTCAGTCCCTGGTCCCATTAGCAGCTAATCGATGGGTTCAGACCCATCTGGTCCCCTCTGGTCCCCTCTGGTCCCACCATGAACCCGATGATTGTTCACTTGTCCCCCGGTCTAGCATAACAAACGAATATACCAGTTGTCCTGCGGTATCTCAGTTCGTTTGAGCTTGGGCTGTATGGACGATGGGGCGAGGTCACGAGTTCAATTCCAACTCGTCTGATCGAACACATAATGAATCCTCGGTTCTAGAGCCAGTAGGTAGCACATAATGGGACCAATTAGTGTCCCATTATGTGCTGGATTAGGTAGCACATAAAGGTTACCGGGCTTTGGGGAGCCCATTAGTCCGATCAAGCACATAATGGATCCCGGGTCCCGTGTGGAAGGAAGTTGGTGCCAGGCCATTCAAGGACTACGACCGGAGGCGGGAGAAGATGGGTGGGTCGTAGGCTTTCATTGGGTGGCAGAGCAGTGTCAAGAAGGGGGGGGATGTATCGGGACCGTACCAGTATAACAATTCAGTCCCGATACATCTACAATGGGTTAAAGCTTGAACAACCAGCACAACAGAAAAAAAAAAAAAAGGTACAATCACGAAATAAAAAAATAGTAAAATACAACTACAACAATGGGACCTAGAGGTTCAGCATCTAGCCCAGGGGGACAATTACAAGTCCCATAAATCCGAATTAAATCGGCAAGAGCCTCTAGGTCGCAACTAAAAACAAAAAAAAAAATAGCAGTACATATAACGAACAATATGACAACTTTTTTTTTTTTTTTGGGGGGGGGGGGGGGGGGGGGGGGGGGGGGAAGGGCTAGGATTGGGGTCTACCCCCCCGATTCGAATCCGTGCTTGCACAGAGGAAGGCTTTGGCCCGCTTGTGCGGACCTATGCACCCCAGATTGCACCAGATTATGTTTCGATTGGGGCTGAGGGGGGTAAACAAGGGTGCTGCTGAGCCTTGGTACCTACAACCACTGTCCAGTCAGATTGGCCCTGTCGAGATGATTGTATTGTGGGGGAACAGGCCTGTGTGGTAGACACTGAGGTAGGATCGTGGGGATGTGGGTGCGCCAGGGATCATGATGAAATTGTGGTAGGTAGGGGAGTCCCATAAGTAATTGGTAGGTAGGTTGGGAGGGGAGTCCCATAAGTAATTGGTAGGTAGGTTGGGAGTGGAGTCCCATAAATAATGGTGTCCTATTTAGATCATCTAGATGACCACAAGGCCGACTACCGAAGGCGACTGTCCTGTGTCTGGTATCCCAACCTCTAGAACAACCCCAGCTCTGTGAATAAATTAAAAGAAAAAAGGAGAGGAGTTGGATGTAGGGGTGGAGTCATGCTGTGTGAGTTGTGATCGATGCTCACTCTTCGCCATTTGATACGACATCGATTAACGACTTTATTCCAAATGCAAGGAACAGCACCGTCGCCACATGCTGCATCAGCTTCGGTGAAATCTGAAAGAACAATGAAAAAACAAGAACGTCACAAGCACACTTTTTTTTTTTTACTTTTTTTGCGCAGTGAGTCAATTGTCTGTCTGTCAAAGTCTTTTGCTGGTGCACATCTTCTTTCTTCTTCTTCTTCTTCTTCTTCTTCTTCTTCTTCTTCTTCTTCTTCGTCGTCGTCGTCGTCATCTTCTTCTTCTTCTTCTTTGGCCTCTCTCCCTCTCAAGTTTTTTCATTACTTTTTGAAAGTGGACGGCATTGTATTTCCTTGTGTATTTCGGAATTGGTCAGGATCGTAACAAAAACAAAAATCATTGAAATCATTTAAAAAAAAGCTCGTAGCACCAGTCCATAGGTGCACCCAAGAACTATTTTTTTTGTCTTTTTTGCACAGCCGAAAACCTTTTTTTTTTTTTTTTCCCAATCACAATTATAACAACGTGTCCCGAGGCCGGTCGTCGCCGAGGAAGATTATCAATGGCGTCGCGGCGGCGATTTTTTCGGAGTAGGCTACGAAGGTGCCTTAGCGTGACAGCCTGAGAGGTAGTGGTGGTTTGAATAAGATAAAAAGTATTAAAAAGAACATAAAAAGTGTCATTTTCACCAACGGGCCTGGCTCAGTTGGTACACCCATGAACTGTTGAAATACAGACCCCAGTTCAAAACCAGAACCCAGGGGCGCTATCTCAAGGCGGCGCCTTCATTTTCAAAATTAAAAATTTAAAAAAAATCAGTGGCCTGCAGTCAGAAAAACAGAATACCAAAATTACCTAGGGCGAGTCAATTCAACGGTGCTATCTCAAGGCCGTCGCCCTCATTTTCAAAAAATAAAATAAAATAAAGCACACTCTAAGGGAGTGAACAAATTTCCACCAAAGCTTCTTTTTTTCTTTTTTTTTTTTTTTGTGTGTGTGTGAGAGAGAGAGAGAGGTAAGGAAAAAATGCATCTGTTTTCGGAAAAATGGTAGGTGTTTTTTTTTTTCCTCCTNTTTTTTTTTTTTTTTTGGGGGGGGGGGTCGTTAATCATAGCTGTTTCGTATATAAAGGCTTAGTAGTACTGTAAACCACAGAACTAAGGGGAAAGATGGGGGTGCGTTTTTCTACATTCAACCCTCCGAAATTCGGAGGGGCAAATTTTGGAAAGCACAGGCTCTACCAAAACTTCAATTCAGGATGATGATATTTCTATTTCTCAGACTTCTTTTTCACTAAAATCGTATGCAATAACCCATGCCATATGTCTCGTGGAAAGACTGAGGGTCAACTCGGCCGCCCTCAGCCCAGGCCGAAATGGGGCCAAAAAGGACCTAGCCCAGGCCTGGACGAGCGACAGTTGAATTTGGTCAACTGTCGGGATCCCAACAGTCAAAGTCCAAATGTACCTAGCCCAGGCCGCTGGTCAAGTGCACACACTTGTTTGTATGCAGGTACCCAGACAGCATGAGGTCCAAAGGGGAGTCTACAACTGTACACAATCAGGGCCCTCGGTCGTGAGGCGATCGGGACGACTGTGGGGAAAGCACCCGAGGCCAGTCAGCCTCGACAAGTGCTACTTAAGGCTGACCTCGAGTGAGTCGAGCATTCAGTCTTGCTATGCTGCTTTGACGCTGGCTCGACTTTGTCTAGACGCTGGCATTACGCTGGCAAGACGCTGCCTGTGCACTGGCGATGCCGACGATGGCACGAGGTGGAGGCAGCATGCTGGCGTTTTCTGCATTGTGCACCAGGCTTGCTGAGGTGGCATGCTGAGGTGGCGCTACCTCTGGGCTACATTGCATGATGATGTGGCACTACCTCTCGGCTACATTGCATACTGATGTGGTGCTACCTCTGGTCTACAATGCATGCTGATGTGGCGCTACCTCTGGTCTACATTGCATGCTGATGTGGCGCTACCCGTGGTCTACATTGCATGCTGATGTGGCGCTGCCTCTGGTTTACAGTGTATGCTGATGTGGCGCTACCACTTGTCTACATTCTGATGTGCCGCTGCCACTGGTCTCCATTGATGATGTGGCATATGCCACCTGTTTCGATTGCTGATGTCCATGCTGTCTACATGAGGTGACTGGTTGCGAGGAGGAGGAAGATCAGGATCTGTGGATGAAGGAGATCGGGTACTCACCTGAGGTTGACGTCGTCATTGGAATCTGCTATGTCTTCATGGTCTTCACGAGATAAAGTGCCATGTGGCACTATTGTGTGTGATCAGGAATATACTTGTTATCATTGTTGACGTGGGAAGGGAAGAAGCCCAGAGAAGGAGAGGGGCCTGAAGGGATTATTGTTGTGTGATCTTTCATCTTCTCCTTTGTCTATTCCCCCTCCACTCTCTTCTTTCGATGGTAATGAGATACCGTTTGAGATATCGCTTCACGATTTGGAGACTTTGATGCAGATAATGAGACTACTGATGTTTGACGACTTCTGAGTATCTGCCATACTGGGTTCATTACACGTAGATGTCTTGAATATAAAGTTATAAAGCTATACCATCTTCCACCAACCACAATGCACCCTGATGCTGAATGTAAAGAA